CGATTTTAGTACTTACTGTAAAATCTGTATTAGAAACCGCGGCTTCTATTAAAATGGTACAATCCAATAGAGGGGGTGCGGCTTCTATTAGAGCATCTACACATATGAGAAATGATGATTTTTTGGTTCCCAATTGTTTAAAAAGAATGGGTGCGACTTCTAATACAGATTTTACGGTACTTCATGCTTGGCAATAGTTAAATCAAATTTTGTATATTTTATTTTTAAGCTGCATTTCAGTGTATTTTCAGAATTCTTTTTTTTTTCTTTGCTGAAGATGTAACTTAAGTCTTGTTGTAGGATGTAAAGAAGTGTGTGCAAATCCTACACATTTGGAATAAGATTTGTTCTATGGTGATGGAATCAATCTAAATAAAACTGTTGTATATTATGAATATACATTGTATTGGTTTATTTTTTGCAATACACATTTTAAACATTGTCACTTTATTCACTATTTTTGTTGAGGTACCGTAATGATTCAGTGAAAATGAAATCCAGCTAATACCGGGTATACCTTTTTTCCTATATTTGACATTCAATTCCCCAAAAATCAGTGAAAATAAATTCCATACAAAAGACTCGAAAAGTGTTTTCAGCGAAAATTAATTCCAGCTAAAATAAAGTATTTTACAGTATCCATCTGATAGATGCAACATAACTTTATTAACACTTACACACTTCTCTGAGGGAATGGAAATGATTAGAAAAGTTAAATGGCTAAAACTAAATAAACTACTACTAAAAAAAAATTATAATAAATAAAAATAATAAAAAAAGTAAAAATTCTGCAAAATAACCAGAACTATAAAGTAAGAAAGCCCATACAATTATAACAATTAAAATGCCAGGTGTTGCCGTCTTAAGTCCATGCATTTTTAGCTCTGCTGTTGACTTTGTCGAGCAGAGCTTGTCATAGGATTGTCCAGTCATCCATGTAAACTTTTTAGACTTTTTCTTGAAAACTACGATTCTTATTGTTTTGATACTAGATTTGGTGATGATATCTTCAATTCTCTAATTTTGATGAATATTTTTGGTAAAAAGTGATATTTTTGACTTGTTAAAAGCCGCAAGCAGATTGCTTTGGTATTGCACATATAGGTACCTCATGTAGACATCTCTCAGATTTGTTCATTTCGTGATGATATATTCAATTCTCTAATTTTGATGAATATTTTTGTCATTTTTGGTAAAGTGATATTTTAGAATTCTCGTTGAAAACAGCAAGTCCGATTGCTTTGATACTATACATATTGTTCACTTTTCTAACAGCTACAAATGTATCTCAGCCGAGAGGCTGCTCGTTTATATATATATATTGTACCAATTGAATTATTAATTTGCTACTGGACATTATTTCGGTGAATTGTATTGCAGTGCAGTACCACAGCCAAGATGTACAGCATCTACAGCCACGAATTGATAGGTAAGCAACTGTATTAAAGTTGTATTGTCTTCAACATTCTTTGAAGCCTTTGAACTAAGTAATACTACCTTTTGGCTTGTCACTATTGTTCTAACAGTCTGCTAACCTTTGATAACAGATGGTGTTTGTTCAGCATTTACTAGGAAAGTACGAGTACCCATTTACTAGGAAAGTACTGTTTTTCATGTTCTTGCAAGACTTTTAATAGTGAAGAGCACAATGTACTCACTATTCATCTTAGCCAGCAAAAATTCATTTATTCATCACCTCACCATTGTATCTTGGCAGAATTTCCACTATAAACCCGTCTATGAAATCAAACAAAGCGACATATCCTCTGGTGTGTTTCCATGGTAATTGGAAGGCAGATGGGAAATCGAACATGAATTCATATGTTTGTGTCAGTTTGGCTATGACTTGATAGGAGACAGCAAAACCTATTGGTTTGAATTTGCTGCCAATTATTACAGGAACAATGATGGACCCAGTGCTTTAGCACTAATAATCAAATCATTCAATTTAACTTGGGTCCTAACACCATTGTGCATGGAAAAGGACGGCCATGGATGGTCAGTTTTTGTGAAATTGTGCCAATCAATACTAAGCTCTTTATTTATAAATCAGTTTTTAAGCGACAGCACCCTGGATTAGAAACAATGATTTTCAGATCAACAAGCTGTTTGGTCTCTACAGAATAAGCAAAGCAGGTTAATGATTGAAACAGTCCCTCAACACTAATTTCGTGTTTTGCACCACTTTTCTACTACTTTGCACCTAGTTTCGTGTTTTGCACCACTTTTCTACTACTTTGCACCTAGTTTCGTGTTTTGCACCACTTTTCTACTACTTTGCACCTAGTCTCGATGAGGGACTGTGGTTGAAAGCAACATGTAGTGTCAAATTTCTACATTATTTTGTTAAAGTACAACAAGTCTGACATTAACTGTTTAGGGTCCCTGTTCTAGCAAATTCCGAGGCCCACAGAGCATTCAACCTGCACAGAATGGGATGTTCATTGCATACACACATCAAAGTGTAATGTATTGTCTAGTAAGTCATCAACAGTTGTATCTGATGACAAATCTGAGCACATTATGAAAGTTTTGAATCTTGGCATTTAGATATAACCAATAATAGAACTACAGTCAATTGTTACATATAATTTAATACCTACAATCATATTACAAAGATGCAATACATGGTATCAAAATTTATCATTATAATCGCTATATTAACACTGCATGAATGAGTTGTGTAGTGATTTATAATGGCCATTCAATAATGAAAGCAATCACGTTTAAAATATTGATTTTGATAAAGTATTTTTTTTTTTAAAGCAAGTGTATAAAATCTTGCTCTGATCAAATGCTATGAAAGCAGAAATCTACGTGTTCGATTCCAATCAGAACAATTTGCATAAAAATATGCTTAAATTGTAGTTTTTGACAAATTTTTCAGTAAAGTATGAAAATGAATTTTATATATAATTATGGAACAGTACTGCAACAGATTATTACACGATGTAGTTAGCGTTTTCACTAGTCCAGAATCTATGTACTTTCCAAGGTCTATGAGACCCTTCCTACAACACAAAGGCATGATGGTTCTTTATCTCATTAGTCATGCAAAATTTATTCAAACACTCTTTAAGTTTGACTGCTGCATGCTGGGAAATCCACACAATTTACTAGTTTTGATTCCATTCTCAATCAACAAATAACATTTTCGGTCAATGTCTGACCATGTTTGTTCACTGACTATCATGCCTGTGAATTGTATAAGGTTCTCACCAACAATTGGGCTCCCACACAGAATGCCTTTGACTTTTAAATGCACAATGCTCCAATCATGTGCAATTCTAAATTTAAAAACTGCAATATTGGATTACTGCTTGAGATCAGTTAGATGAAAATATGAAGGAAAAAACTTGTAGGAAATATGAAAATTTTATATAATATTAAAATTTAAACTTGAGACAGCAAGACTGAATACTGGGTTAGATGGTATCTTAACTATGATTGGTCATTCAAAGTCATATGACATAATGTACACTATCAGCTGATTCCTGCAAAAAAGTGATCAATTTTTTCAAATATTTATTTTGTGTAATTTTAAAATGTATATGGCAATTTGCACATACAAAACTGTTGGAAGAAACTGACATTCAATGTCCACAATTCCTACCTGGAAAAACAAAATCTTTGAAAGACGCAACAGATCATAAGCAGCTAAAAATATTATACATACAACCCATACTTTTTTTACTTGATACTGTTTTGTAACTCAAAAAAGGTAAAAATAAAATAACATTTACAATATAAATAAAATAAATATTTATAAATAATAAATACATCTCTGAATGAAATGTATATATATATATATATATATATATATATATATATGCTAGACAATATAAATTCTGTTCGTCTTACCCGATATTACAGGATTTGTGAAAATTACATTTTGCTGACAAAATAATACAAGAAAATTGATTAATTAAGAGATAATTTAATTTTGGCCTACTGTATTATGGGTAATTCTGACCCTTCTTACATTTTCAAAGTTAAAAGTATTATAATTACATGGTGAAAGTAATATAAGTGTTAAGAATACATATCACATGTAATTTATTACAAGTTAGTCATCTTTAAAGAGTAGTGGCGAGGTACACATATAGGTTACAGTAATCATAGTGTCGATAACTGTGTCTTTATGTTTTTGAAAACAGCAGCTGCACTTGTAATTTTCTTACTGGCAGTAGAAGCAATGACAAAATTAATTAGAACTTAAAGCCTTTTCACTGAAACAATGTTTACTGCATGCTGAGAAAGGGTGAAAAACAGAAAGGTGCATAACCCTCTAGGTATTGTTGGTCGCCCTCTGGTGGTGGGTGAAGGTAATCTTTTGTTTATCCCACCAATCTACACCAGAACTCAAAGTGTTATGGTGTGCACAGAATAAATCCCATGATACGGTAGCGTCTTATCTCAAATTGTGAAGTCAATAATACTGAAACAGTTTATTGAGAGGTGTTATTAGCCTGTATAAAGCTGAAAGTCTGTTACATTTATTAACAAGCAGCCTGTCGGCTGAGATAGCTCCGCTGTTAGCAATGCACATGACAATTAAAGAACAGAAGATATCATTAGAAAATGAACAAATCTGAGAGAGGTCCACATGTAGTACCTATATGTATTATATATCAAAGCAATCGGACTTGCGGTTTTCAACAAGAAGTCGAAAATATCACTTTTTACCAAAAATTACAAAAATATTCATCAAAATTAGAGAATTAAAGATATCATTATGAAATGAACAAATCTGAGAGAGGTCCACATGTAGTACCTATATATGTAATATCAAAGCAATTGGACTTGCGGTTTTCAACAAGAAGTCGAAAATATCACTTTTTACCAAAAATTACAAAAATATTCACCGAAATTAGAGAATTAAAGATATCATTACAAAATGAACAAATCTGAGAGAGGGTCACATGTAGTACCTATATATGTAATATTAAAGCAATTGGACTTGCGGTTTTCAACAAGAAGTCGAAAATATCACTTTTTACCAAAAATTACAAAATATTCACCAAAATTAGAGAATTAATTATATCATTACAAAATGAACAAATCTGAGAGAGGGTCACATGTAGTACCTAT